ATATATATATATATATATATATATATATATATGGGATAATCTAAACTTCCCAACCCTTCAAATTACAAAGATTTTGTGTCTAATTTTTTTTCCCTAAGTAGCTATTTCCCTTACGGATTCAATGTGCAATATGTTTTTTTTTTTTGGTGTAATATGCTTATGCTAAAGCATGCTATAAGCATTCATTGGCAATTATGTACATCTTGTGAAGGGAAACTATATATTGTATACTAAGCTAATATAGAAGGTATATATTATAATCAGTAGGTATAGGAATGATAGATACAATATCCCATATTTTATAGTGAATCTGGGTATAATTTACGTGTCTGTAATTTATTTTTATTTTTTCTTATATGTAATTTATCTATAAAAGACAAGTATATACATTTATATGATTAATGGACACCAAGTTTCGTTTGAAAAACCCAAGACTCTTTACATGGTATCAGAGCCAGATTCATCTTCACCATGTCCATTATTGTATGATTGAGTTTATTAATATGTTATTACCCGATCCTATCCTGATTTGACCTCTAATTCTATTGCGCAACTTGGAATCCCTTAATCGAAATCTCCCCAATCTGCCTTGTTGCTTTTCAAATCAGGGAAGAATCTACACAGTTACCTGGCTCTGATTATTAAACTAGAGAGAGATCCTGATATTGTCACTAAAACCCCCGAGACCCCCTTTTCATCTTTGGTGAAAGAGTCCCAGATTGTTTACTGAGCAGCACTCTAAAGATCTTTCGTATCTGGATTTTTTTTTGCAAATCCCATTGAGCCGGATGCAAGTTCCTTCCTTTGCTGGCATCTGTTTCAAAAATTTGGGCACAATTGAGTTTCGTTGGGACAATGGAAACTCATTCTTATTGCTGTCTCTTCTTCTCTTTCAATTTATTTAATCGTCTCCCACAAATCTCCCACTAAACCCTTTAGTCTTTTTTTAATTTGAAGTGAAATCATGTTCGTTGTTGCATTGAAATCTCGAATCTAGTTTATCATTATTTCCCATTTCGGCAAAACAATAAAAATAAATAAAATCATGTTCTACCCTTCTGGTGAACAATTTGTTTGCCTTTAAAAATCAGCCTTTTGCCCAGTCTCAACCAGATCGGTCAGAGTAAATCCATTGAAAAATTTGTCCCCAAAAATAAAAAGAAAAAAATATAAGCTTTTATTGGTTCATCTTCGTGTTGTTGTTGTTGTTGTTGTTTTTAATTTTCTTAATTTTTATTTATGATCGAGTCAATTGTTTTTCAATCATGTTTGTAATGGTATGCTAGCAACAAAATCTGTCTCGGATCCCCTCCAGTTCTGTGGGCTCTTGCAAGTGTCATTCTGTTCTCTCAGTTGTCTCGACTGCTTTGTCTATAATTTTTTTCTGATTGATTGAGCCTACTTTGATATGACACTTAGTTCATGAGGCTGTATGTTTATGAGGCTTGTTGATCTACCATTGCTTTTTGTGCTCGTTGTTCAAGCAATCTGAGCATGGCAACAACTGCTTCTATTAGTCACGCTATGCACTTGAAGATTCAATAGTTGGTTTCCGCAACTTGGTGTTCAAACTTCAGCTGCTCTCTCTCACAGCATCTTGAGTTTGGAGGGGAGTGTGAAATGAAACTGTATATTGTATACTAGGCTGATATATAGAAGGCATATATTGTAATGAGTAGATATGAGAATTATGGGTACAATATTACATATTTTATAAGAAGTCTGGGTATAATTTAGGTATGTGATTTTATTTTTTCTCATATGTAATTTGTCTATAAAAGAAAAGTCTGTACATTCATATGATCAATGAACATTGAGTCTCTTCTGAGAAACTTGAGACTCTTCACATATCTCATACCACATCTCATCCACCCTTTCTCATGCAACCACTTATGTGCTTTTATTTTTTGAAACACTGATAAAATATTATCCTCAAGTATGTTGTAGACATCGATAGGAGGAGTCTCATGTGCACTATGTATCTTGCATGTTTAGTAGTTTGGCCTAAAAAGCCAGTACAGCCACAACACATACCACTATATATATATATATATAAAATTTAACACATTAATCATTAAAGTTTTTAATTAATTACGAGTCCTAAAAAAATATATCTGATAACAAGTTACATGGACTGTCTATTTTAAAGATTTTCAAATGTTTATAGATCTGATCGATTTGTACTAATTTTTAGATTTTAAATTTCATAGCTAGCAATGAAAATATATTTTGAAGCCACCATAAGGTTTTGAAATTAAGAGGTGTGTCTCACTTCTATAGTATGACGAGGATGTCTTAAATAAAGGATGTGATGTGCATAAGACTTAAGGCCCTAAACACTCAAGTAAAATTGAAATATGTCGTTTTAATATCACAACTTTCTACAATGGCTTGAAATTTATTTTTATCTCTAATTATAATATTTAAAGCTTAAAAAGTAATGTAGATCAAACAGATCCACAAACATTTGAAAATTGACAGTCTAGAATGCATTAAAAAATGCACTACTTCCAAGACTTGGAGTTTTCTTTTTAACATTTATGTATCTCAAGACCGAGATGATCAGATTTGAAGGTTTTCTAGCTTCAAAACAACTTCTTCTAGTGAAGTTTTGAGATGCAACTGAGTTTGATTGTTTAGGGCATAAACTTAATGTAAACTATTTCCCTTATTAAAACCTCATGATTTTAAAATTAAATAAACAAATCGACAGAACGTAAAATATAGTTAGATGAATTTTGGTCATTTTTTCTAAAATACTTACTATAGTGATTGTGTCTTGAGCTCAAAGAGAAAAGTTCTCTTCAATGGATATTTTGTTTGACCAAAATATATGAAGAATATATATATTTTACTCGAATAGATCGGTGGGGATCCGTGGCGCAATGGTAGCGCGTCTGACTCCAGATCTGATGGTTGAGTGTTCGATTCACGTCGCGTTCAGAAACCTCGATTCCTCTACCCTCACTGTGGATGCAATCGTCTCATGTACTTTTTTTTCTTTGTTTTTTGAAGAGGTCGCAGGTGCAATTTTTATATTTCCGAATACCAATATGGTAAATGCCATTACACAGTTCGTTTTTTTCTTTGTTTTTTGAAGAGGTCGCAGGTGCAATTTATATATTTCCTAATACCAATATGGTAAATGCCATTACACAGTTCATTATCAGTTTTCATTGAGGATTTGCTGTTTGGGGGTTTTTCAAGGTTCGGAAATTTAGGGTTTTCCTCTCAAGGCTGTGAGGACACACCGGCACTTGTGTAGAGGGAGAGTGAGGTTCTGCAACTCGAGGGCGTTGTAGTCTTAGTGAGAGAGAGAAACTCTGCGACTCGGGGGCGTTGTAATTCTAGAGAAAGGGATATTTAACTCCTTGGCATTGCAAGAATTTCTTAGGTTTTACGAACACTTCGGTTTTCCTCTCTCTTGCCCTTGAAGTTTCACTTTATTGCTGAGAGAGCGAGAGAATCTCTGCAACTTCAGGGGGTACGAGTTCTAGGGTTTTACAAGATGCTTCGAAGAAACATCAGGTTAAGGCGAGAGTATCTTTACAGAAAAAACCTCGAAGGGAAGGAGAGATTGCTTTACGAGAAGAAGCGAAAAATTAGAAAAGCACTAGAAGGTAACTAAGAATCGTTTAGAAACCATAAGTTTCCTGCAAATTATGGAATTAGATTTTGTAGCACCGTGACCTCTATTTTTTAGGTTATCATCCTTCAGTTCACTAATTCTTTATCCACGCTTGCTTCAATTTGAATTGAAAAATATCACTGTGATATCAGAATACTACATACAGTATTAGATTTTTTTTTTGGGTATATCAGCGTTGCTTTAATTTCAAAATTTGAATCTTAGACCAAAGCTGAATAAAAATTATATCAGCGTTTCTTTAATTTCAAAGTTTGAATCTTAGACCAAAGCTGAATAAAAATTTATGTCCAAGTAATTTCAGGAGGGGCAAAATGAATCTATAACTTAATAATTTTCTGCGCACCACTTGTTTTCCTCTGAACGAATATTAGGCATTTGGAACATAATGTTGATTGCACTTTACAAAAATACTCCTGCATTTATCATCTCTGTATTTTCCACTATCTTTTGATCATCTGACTTAATGTTTTTATTCATTGTCTGTGAAAAGAGGGGAAGCCCATTCCTACTGAACTGCGAAAAGAGGAATTCGCCTTGCGCCATGAAATCGATCTTGAGGACGATCAAACAGCAGGTTAGGTTGTGATTTATTTATTCGTGTATCATATTATATAGACTTATGACAACGTTTGTACATTTCTGCATCACTGTCATATACAGTTGCCAAAAACGTTGCGATATTAATCCCCTCTTAGTCCTCATTCCTTTTTTTAAGCATTTATATTGCACCTCAGCTATCAATCTTATGAAGATGGTTGTGTGTTATTTTTATGTTATCAGTTCAAAAGACTCACGTTGATGATGAATATGCAAATGCATCTGAGATGGACCCTAAAATTCTATTGACCACTTCGCGAGACCCAAGTAGCCGACTTTCCCAGTTTGTTAAGGTTGCCAGGTTTCCCTCATTACTGCATTAATTTACCCATTTTGTTGATTTTTTTGTCTGGAAGGAGAGGTTTTTTTTTTTTAGTTTTTTTTTTTTTCTTTTTTTTTTGGCATCATGTGATATTTCCAGCGAGAATTTGATTTGTTGTGTTTTTACTTATTTTTGACGAAGGTAATGATTTTTTGGTTTTGTTTCAGGAACTAAAATTTGTGTTTCCTAATGCACAAAGAATGAATCGTGGGAATCAGGTTTGTTTGTATTTTAAATTGTTTCTGATTCTTTGACTATGCCTCTATTGAGCTATGCTGATTTTTTCTTCTTGTCTCATCTTTGACGTCGCTTGTGTTATTGTGAAATTTCTGGGAAAAATGTTGGATATGTTAGTTCTTATATAGGACATGGTTATTTTTTGTTTTGATAATTTGGATGATATGAAATTCATTTTGTCTCTTGGTCACTATCATAGATGCAAATCACACTTGTGGTTCAACAGCTCGCATTGGCTACACATGGTTGTTATATACATTCTATATGGCAATACATTATGTCCATTATGGGCACTGTAAATAAGTGCAATATATGTGCTATACAAGAGAGAGTTGCTAAAATATGGAAAAGACATTATGGGCACTGTAAATAAGCCCAATATATGTGCTATACAAGAGAGAGTTGCTAAAATACGGAAAAGACATTATGGGCACTGTAAATAACCCCAATATATGTGCCATACAAGAGAGAGGTTCTAAAATACAGAAAATGACTAATTTGGCCCTATTGGTTTTCTATCACACCCACCCTAGGTCTCATGCCCTTTATTTTACCCCTTGTTGTAAGGAGGTAAAGTCTTGCCCAGAGTCACTAGGTAAAGCGACTGAGTAGGGCATGTGGTCTGAGTGTCTGACTTGGTGTTGGGTAGTCCTACAGTTACTTGTTTCTTTCACAAACTCCCGTTTGTTTTATCATTCTTGGACTGCAATTATGAGAAATGATGTTTCCTCTTTCAAGTTATGAGGGTAAAATGGTTGCACCTTTACTTTCTTTCAGAATTCTAACAATGAGTAGTAAAATAGTAAAAGAGCAAAAAGGATCAGTGTTCAATTGCACGAACGGGCTGCAAAAACCAGCCATGGGCCAGGTCCGGGTAACCGGCGCGAATTGGGTAGGTGTTAATTTTTTTTTTTTTAAATGTGTTAAAAATTTTTAAATCCAGAAAATAGGAAAACACATTTAAATGAGGTTAAAAAAGTTGTAAAAAAATAGGTTTTGAAATAAATTTGTGACTGGAGGTATTTTCAAAATAATCCGAAAAAGATGGGAAAATGTAAAAATAAGTATTCATTACCAAAATACTTCCCAATCTTTGCCAGTATTACAGAACTCATAAAAAAACATGTTACAAATCGAGTTCAGTGTTTTAAAATGTGGGATACGGCCGAACGCATGGGGGGGGCCAATGCGGCTTGATGCGGTCGGGATGCGGGTGCATCGCAGTGATGTGGTCAATCAATATAAAAAAATTCTAAAAAATCTAAAAAAATAGGTTCATGCATAGAAAAAAATATGGAGGTGATATATATGATAGTAGGTATTTAGTTTATTCATTAACTACAAAAGTATTAGCTTTTGGAGATTTTGTATCCACTATCCCCTAATAGAAACTAGAAACTTATAGCTAGCTTCATAAAACATTCAGCAATCAATAGTATGCAACCACAAACTTTAAAGTTACAAAATTGAGAATATGACGAACTAAAAGTCCATGAAGATCAAAGAGTTTAAAAGTCAAGCTCAAAAAGAGTCAATACAATCATTATCATTTCTCAAGTCCTTAGATTGAGATTCTAAATTTCTAATTTTCAAATACTTATCAGCAAGTATCGATTTCTTCACGGCCTTTGAAACCCTCAATTTGTTGTGACAAGTTTGCCTAAACTTCCTTAAATCAACACCCAAAAGATACAAATCAATAACCAAGCATCAACAAATGCACAAATCGAAGAACTTCAACATGTAAAATTTCCGCCCAAAATTTTTTTTTATTCAATTGATCCAGTGAAAGCCACGGATGTGGCTGGAAAATGTTGTTTGGGGGGTTTAATATCCCCCCAAACCCTTTGCCCCCATTTTTGAAGGTCAAAATGACCTTATTATCCCTGCCCAAGGGGTACAGGTTCGAAAAAAATGGCGGACAGATTATGCGGCCTGATGCAGTCGATGCGGGATGCGGCTCTGATGAGGTGCATATGCGGGTGCATCTCTCCAAACCGCATATGCGGGCAAGTGCGATGCGGTTGTCAGCGCATAGTGCCTGATGCGGCCGCATATGCGGCGATGCGGCAACATTTTAAAATACTGGATTTCTTTTTTTTTTCTTTTAATTTTTTTTTAAGATCCCAGAGTCCAACTTGGGGATACTTGGGTGTGCCACCTTGGCGAGTCCGAGCGGACTCATTGATTAGTTGAACATTGAGAAGGATTTCCCTTTTTAGAACAATTAATGGTCTGAGTGCATATATTCATATGAAGATACAAAATTAATAATGAGAGGATGATGCTAACATTTTATGGATATGTCCTTCGCAAGCTTGTACGAGGTCCGTCCTTGTATATTTTTACCATTAGTCAATTGCTTCCGTGCTCAATGCATTTCGTGTTATTTCAAATTGTTTGTCATTTCTGATCATCTCATCCATTTCATCTCTAGCTTGTAGTTGTTGGAACATTTTATTTATGATGGAATTTAAAGTGATGTTTGAATTTCATATTATTGAAGATTTCCTAAAATGGCAATTTTGCAGGTTATCTCAGAGATCGTTGAAACTTGTCGTACACATGATTTTACAGATATTGTCATGGTTCACGAGCATCGTGGGGAGCCAGATGGATTGATTGTTTGTCATCTACCATTTGGTCCAACTGCATACTTCGGCTTACTCAATGTGGTAGGTCATGAGGATCGTTCTAGTTTTTTTTAAGTATGGGATTGATTTATGAGGGATTCCTCTGGGTCGGTTAACCTCTATATGTGACAGGTGACAAGACATGATATTAAAGACAAGAAGGTTATTGGAACAATGTCTGAAGCATATCCTCATCTAATTCTTCATAACTTCTCCAGTAAGGTATTGATGTGCATGGTTTCTTTTGTATAATTCTTATAAAAATTTTCAAGTACTTGTGTATAGTAATTCCTGGGCAGCATCCTTGCTAAACATGCATCATAGTTCTTTGTCATGGATATTTGGAAACTTTCTCAATTACCCATTATATTTCACTCTGTAAGAAAAGCAATAATTTTTTTTAAAACATGTTTTTCTGGATATTTAAAAGTTACTTCAATATTGATGGAGAAAAAAGTTATTGGAATTCTTTGTTCCTTCCTAACATTTAAAAGAAAACCCAAAAAATTGGAAAAAAACCTTTGTTCTTCTTCGTCGGATGCCTTTTGTAACTGTTACTGTAGGGTTTAACTTGGCTGTTTTTATTCTGTATGGGTGGGTATGATTGTTCAATCTGCTCAATTCATACTGGTTTATATATAAAAAAATTGCTTGAACTGCATTTTTTTAAAATTAGCTGAAAGATTTTGACATTTCTAGAAGAATGATTGATGATAAGATATGGACTTAGTGGGGAAGATGTTGCGTTGTAAAACTAATCCTCTTCTAAACGTCTACTCTTGGAATGGTGACAGCTTGGTGAAAGAACAGCCAACATACTAAAGCACCTCTTTCCAGTTCCTAAACCAGATTCGAAGCGCATTATTACCTTTGCCAATCAATCTGATTACATCTCATTCAGGTGATGGTATAGTTGAACCATAATTTGTTTTTGTGGAACATCTAGAGTTGAATTGGAGCATTGGCTCCTTGATCCAAATGTCTATGCATATACAAGTACATCATTATTCTCACATTTGCTCAATGCTTGTCATGGCTTGATAGCTATCTTAATACATGTTCTCTTTTATCTTTTTGCAGTCAACAAATCATATACTTCCATTGTAGCTGAGTTGTTTTAGCTTTGAGAGAATATTCATTTAAACCTCATGCATCTATTGCCTGTTTGTGATATTGAAACTGCCATGTTGATTTTTGCTTTAAATCATTTGTTCTTGCTTAAATTTGTGGATCCCATACACCCTCTTGAGCCTTGTAGACTTTCTTTCTTTAATTTAGTTGTTAGCCAGGTTTTAGATGAGAATGAATTTTATTTGTTCACCAGATGTAAATATTTATGATTTACTGTTCAATCGTTAAACGGCCCTCATGTGACCAGGAGCTATTTGACCAAATCCCACATTCTCTTCCCTAAACATTTTTAGAAATCTGTAGTGTGTACCATGACCTAATACTTCAGCTGGTAGCTAATATAACTTAAAGGTCCTGCAGAACTAATACTGCTTTATGGGAATATTATAATCATTATCGGATTATTTATTGGTCTATGGATTGCGGTGCTTGTAATGTGACCCTCTGATGCGAGCTGTGTACTTGTCCTTTTGATGAATCAGTGATTAAGTCTTTGTTGGAGGAAAGGGTAAAGAAGCAACAAACTTGTATATGCATATAAATGATGAATGCCAAGGCTAAAATAACAAATTACTAAACATAGAAATGTAACCCTCAAATGTGAGCCCTGTATTTCTTTTGAGAGTATATGATGAATTATCTACTAAGGCCATGCCTGTTGGAAGGAAGGTTGCAAATGCAACAACTTTGTAGATACCTATAAAGGATGATTCGAAGGCTAAAATTAAATATTGCTCAGTTATGAAACATTTTTATGCATTTTACTTCAACAACTAAGAATATTGTGTTTATTTTGCACTTGGGGTAGTAAGAAACTTTGCTGATCTCTTTTAATAGATGTTTATTTTAAAGTTGTTCGATTGTTGTTATTATTATTGATAAATAAATTTTCAACACCAATTGGAAATGATATAAGTGCCCCCCTGAATTGTTGGATTCAATGGGCGAATCCCAAGGCATCATAAACACAAAAATAAGAGTATCAAATGAAGATTATGTACCTTTTCTCGAATCTGACTTCCCTCTTGCGATTGGTGTTGATCGACTCCCTTCCTTGTGCGCGCTTTCTATGGGTCAAGAGTTCAATACCTGCAACCTCAAGATGACTTTCAAGCCGAGGACACCAATGAAACTCTTATGAGTGGGACCAAGGATGCACATAGATTGTCGCACAACTGCAGCCATACCTCGAATTGTGCGGCTTTGGGCCATGATCCTCCCACACACCAGAATCTCATATGAGCGCATGTGCACATGTGCCAATGCATGTGTGCTCACATGTGCGCCACACACGTGCATGCCACAAATTGGTTTGGTATGTGTCATGGAGCACGTGCAGCACCGCATGTGCCTTGCATGTGCCTTCGGCATGTGCCTTCGGCATGTGCCTTCGGCATGTGCCCACACGTGCACTTCGGCATGTGCCTTGCATGTGCCGCTTGAGAATGTATGTGTCCGTGGTGCCTAAGTGGACGTGCGGCTGTCCGCAGCGTTGGACCACAACGTGTCCATGGTGCACAAGGTACACCAAGCACGCATCTAGCAAACTCACACGTGCCTCGCATGTAACTAGAGTGCCCATGCTTGCCTTGCGAACCCCCAGCTTATGTCCCACTCCCAAAGAGGCTTGTATGCGCCAAAAAACATCAAAAAGAAAAGTACGAGTCCTGAATAGCACAAAAAAACTAGGTCTTTTTTGTTTTCGCTGGCCAACCACATGGGCTAACAAATACGAGAGGGGAACCTCCATTAAATGGGCTCTGATACCAATGTTAGATTTGATGGGTGAATACCAATGATACGGAAACACAAAGATAAGATGATCGAATAGAGATTGTGAACCTTTATTTTTGGAATCCGTTATCCGTATACCCTCTTGTAGCTGATATTGATCTTTTTGCCTTCATTTTGCATGTGGTTCCTTCGAGTTGAGTATTTGGTTCTGGCAACGTCAAGTCGACGTTTAAATATTAGAATTAAAAGAATGATTTGCATAACTCAAATATGCGAGCCTTTGATTGTGATGACCTGGGACTTCTCATTATGGGATGTAGGGATCTCTTATGTTTCTTGAGAGAGAAAACTTATAAAGAGGAGGGAATATAGAAACGAGGGGTCGGGGCCTATGGAGAGAAATGTGACACGTGATTCTCTAAAGGAATAATGGGAAAAATGGTACTCCTTTCTCCAAATCCCCTTATATAGATGGGCCATGATTCCCTATCTAGTAAAGATCCATTTTTAATCGATATGTTGATCTCAATCCTAAAATTTAGATATATCTTTAAATATATTTTCAAATATGCTTTTATACACAATACTCATCCTAATCATGTAATGATTCCTTTCTCATTTTTATGCTACAATTAAACACCAAATCCTATGTAGGTCCTTGCATCCCCTTTCTCTAAATTCCCTTATATAGATGGGCCCCTTGTAAGATTCCCTATCTAGTAAAGATCCATTTTTAATCTATATGTTGATGTCAATCTCAATCCTAAAATTTAGATATGTCTTTAAATATATTTTCAAATATTCTTTTATCCACAATACTCATCCTAATCATGTAATGATTCCTTTCTCATTTTTATGCTAGTACCAAATCTTTTGTAGGTCCTTCTACCCACTAGGGGAGGACCCTCAAAAAATCAACATCTGGTTGGGTCAAAATGGAATAATAGTAAGGCCAGGGCATGACCATTGGCATCGGACCTTGATTGATATTCAATGATATCAGTGTACTTCGTGATGCTTATCTACTATGCGACGATGGAAATGTTTTTATCTAGGATGTCCTTAGGTCAAATGTTTTGAAAAACTTGTACTATTAATATAATATTTTTGCAAGTGAATTTTTTGGCTTGCATGATAATGATGCTTTATTATATTAAATAAGTGTGAGTGCACGAAGGAGTTGAGTAGTCTCCTGAACACATAGTAAACTTATTAGGGATTAGTGGATTACTCATTTTAGTGTGGCTAAGAGAGTCTAGGCCAATTTGGAGCATTTTTAATAGAGAGAATAGGTGTTCCATGTTAGTCTGATGGAACAAGTGATCATCTCTATAGCGATGCAATTATTCTTTAAGGTCTCATGGTTCATTCCCCAATGTAGCTTGTATGAGAGTTTCTTACACATCGACCTGTTTCTGCCAACTGCTGGACGAGTGGAAAGTATTAATTTTTTGTAGGGTGGCCTCTTGTGAATGGAAGACCTACATGGGATTTCATTATTTTATTGTGGCATATATATGAGAAGGGAATTCTAATAGGTATTGTGGATAAGAGAATATTAAAAAATATCTTTAAAAAGATATATTTGAAGTGCAGATTTCTCCATAGACCCTAGATTTCTATGACCCCAGATTTCTATATTCCCTATGCATAAATTTTCTCTCTATAAAATAAGAGCTCCCTATACCAGAAAATAGAGTATGCTTCCGCAGAAGTATCTACTCGTTACATAATCTCAGGTGTCAAAAGTGCGGATCTCATATAGTAAAAAAAAGTGGGACATGCTATCCCATGGTGAGAACTATAGGGCTATCTCAATTACATACTCAAGGATTTGCATTTTGTAAATTGTGCTTTTAGTTCTAGTATCTAAAAGTGGGCATGATGTTGGCAGTATTGAACTCTTAAACTGGAGACGAGTTAAAGGAAGGGGAAAGATCAAAACCAAGTGTAAAGAGGGAATTCAGATTCAAAAAATGATACTTAATCTCAATTCAATCCTCTTAACTTTGTGTTTTCGCATCAGGTTTGCTCGTTGAAGCCAACATTACCATACCATTTGATGTAGGTTCGCCTTTAAGATCTGAAGGCCTATGTGCTTGGTCTGCAAAAACACAAAACCCCTATTTTTTAGAGAGGTTTTAGTTTAGTTTTCAATATCTTGATTTTTTGGCGCACGCATGCCTCTTCGGGCATGAGATATGAGTTGGAGGTGCACGAGGCACCCATGGATGCGTTCGGTATGTGCACGGCGTGCATGAGCGCTAGATGAGTGCATGTAGGACCCTGCTTATGTGGACCTGTTGTGGTCGCACACCTGTTGTGGTCCTGTGCGATGTAACACGGCATGTCTACATAGGCATGGTGGAGGCACGCACTTGATGCGCTCAATGCTTGCACCTGTGCTTGTCCTGCGTGGTGGACTGGCAGGGTGCCCACCCCCGGACGGATATATAGGGACAACAGTAGCATGTGCGGGGCACTCGTGGTAGCCCACGTGTGGCAACTAGTGTCCAACATTGCTTCACGAAACATGCATGCCAGACCAATTTGAACCCACACGTGTGCGGTTCACACACGAGGCACACGTTCTGTGCATGTGCACGTGTGATTGCATCTGTGATTCCTATACATGTTAGGAACATGTCCTGAAGCCGCACAATTCGAGGTATGTCCATGGCTTTTCCACGGTATGTTTATATCTACGACCTGACAAGAATTTCCAGTGTGGCCTCGGTTTATGATGCCGCCGCATTGGTGCAGCCTCGAGGCTGTATGAATGCGATCGTACCAAGAAGATGCAGCAACACTTGTGCTGCTGTTGATGAAAAGTAAAAAAAGCCTTACCTTGCTGCCTGCAGCTTTGTTCTATCAGTCTGCGGTCGCAGTTTCGCTACAACAGTGTACGTCTTAAGAGATGCAAGATCAGGCCAAAGCTTTCAAAGGGCATAACTTTGCATTTGGGTGGCCGTTTTCTACATATAATATATGTTTTCCTGTAGCTCAGATTAGGTACATGGGTGTGACCCTGGCTAGCCTTAGATGCGATGAGACATTACTACAACTGAACTACGACCTGGATCGAGTAAACCTAATGTGAATCTTGGCATGTGATTTATACTACATGCGCTTAGTGAGACTGCTATTCCTTTTAGTAAATGTCGATAGGATGATCTCTATTCCCTCCGACACCATGTGAGAAATGTCAGTCACTTATTGATCAGGAGTGCCCTCATAAGCCCTATTATTATATCAAAAAGTGGAGACTTGATGTTGCTATTTTAGTAGGACTTCCTATGGTCATGATTGATTCGTCGGGTTGGGAGCAAAGCTACTTTAGTATGACTTCCTATGGTTGTGATTTACTTAGGTATATACGCTGCCGGCTCTTTGGAAGAAAGAGATTTGTGTTCTTTTTTTAGTGAGAACAATTTTTTAATAAAAACATGGAGTGATACTTTGTCTGTAATTGCTTAGCTTAGCATGAAATTTTTTATTATTAATAATTGAATGAAGGAAAACATGACACGCATTTGCATAAAGTACTGGAAAATATCTTCTTTTATAATTAACAAGCATGAGTGTTGTTATACCATAAGTTCATAAAAGTAATGTTCACATCTTGGGAAGTGATGTTCATGAATATATTGCAAAGTTGGGATGGCACTTGGGTCATAGGGAATTGAGTGCAACATTTTTATTCTTTTCGAAACATGCTATGAGTGAAAGATATTTGGAGTAGTGATCAGTTTGAGTGTGTGGCTTGTCTAGGATTGTTATGATGGTCTTGTTGGTGAGGGGAACACTATTCTCATGTGCAGGCAGATATTGAATTGGGCATTATTGCACATGGTCGCTTGGGTTGAATGTAAAAGGAGGGCAATGTAGGCAAAGTAGTGAGTGTTCCCATGGCGGATGCGGCTAAGGGCTTATTACTCTGCAGGTTATGTACATAGTTACCAGGAGTAGGAGCGGGAGCGTCGGAGGGATGTCGGCCCAAGCTTCGGAGCTCGGGGAGCGATTCCAGTGAGGTTAAAAGTAGTGGATCGAGATCCCGTATGAACAGGGAGCGCATTCCCAATACATCGGGATCGAGATCTCTATTTAACGGGAATGCTTTCCATGTCAAATGGGATTGTGTTCCCATATTCATTAGGATCGTGCTCCCATCGACATCAGGATCGCGTCCCATCTAAGAATGACCGTGTTCCTATTTGGAAAGGATCGAGGCTCCATTCAAGGAAGGATCGTGTTCTGTGCCTGATTAGTCCACGCTCCCATCGCATAACTCCACTTTTATGAAAATTTAGCTTAAAATATAATTATTTTATTTTAAAAATTAATTTTATTTAAGAAGTTTCTTTTAGAATTTTTCGGGAAAATAGGTATGGAGTTCCGGAAATATAGCGATCGCGCTCTTAAAACTCTGGGAGCGGGGATCTAATTTATTCAGGAACGAGATCCTAAAATTTAAGGAACGCGTTCCGTGCAGCATCGGGAGCGAGCTCCGTTATGAACAGGATTAAGAATCCTAAAAATAGGAGCGAGCTCTCAAAAATAGGAAACAAGTTCCGGTCGAGATCGCGGCTACGGAGCGCCGGAGTTGGGTTCCGGAGCGGGAGTGCCACCCTAGTTAGGGGCTCCCGGTAACTATGGTTATGTAGAAGGGTGTCGTCCTTGATGATTATGAGTTTTTTTCCATCTTTGCACTGTCTCGTTCGGCTCTAATCTTTCTTAATCACATTTATTCCTGTTTCCCTATTGTTCTCTCTCAGATGCTTCAATTAGAAAAAAGTGAGCTTTTTAATATGCTCTGTGAGTTGGAATCGGATGTGGTTCTATCCTTGATTTAATTTTCTGTAATAACTGTTGTACATCAGTTGTTGAAGTGCTCTCTGTCAACATTGAATTTGCAGGCATCATGTCTACCAAAAAGATGGGGGTCCTAAATCAATTGAACTAAAGGAAGTTGGTCCTCGCTTTGAGCTGCGGCTGTATCAGGTAAGGTGTTGATAGATATAAGTTGTACCGCCACCTGAATTATCATCCTGTTTGGTGGGGTTGGGTTCACTTCTGTAAGTAACAGGCACATATTTAACCAAGAAAGTTATCACTTGGGTTTGCTACAGTGTTTTAGCACTTTTCCCATCGATCGATGCAACAAGGGACAGTTAAGGAGTTCCTTTGCTCAATGTCGGTCAAAACATTTGGCAGACTTCGTCTTTTTGGGGGGTCATTGGTAGGAATCGAACTTGAGATATAGTACTGCTAAATGTTTGCTGCTAACCACTGAAGCCCAAAGCCCGATTCCTAATTTTTGGCAGACTTTGATTGGAGGTATCACACACCTGAACAAGCCATTATCGACACCTGACCGTTGCCAGATATTGTGGCAAACCCCAAGTAAACTTGCTATACAGGCAGAGGTTTAAATACGACTGTTATAACAGAGATAGTGATAGTCATAAAGGAAATTGACCCTGCCCGTGACCTTACATATGGTATAAGGGGTAGCATGGACCATACATAAATGACGGTTGTTATCTTCTCTGTAACGGCAACTATATATTGGCTTAGCACCCTTTATAACAGGTTTCGTCATTTGTTATTACGGAAATAACAGCCTTTAGGAGGGAAAATATTTTTGAAATGTTGCCCTTTTCTCTTCTCTGTTTTTCGGCTCATTTTCTTTTTGAATCAATCTTTAGTTTCCCTTTCTATCCTCCCTCCCCCAGCCCCCCTTTCTTTGTTTGGGAAAAGTTTAGAAAGAGCCAAGGCGCTAAATGATCAAATTTGAGCCTACCTCAAAAATTATATTAGAAGATGTTGTTTTGATGCTCAAATATCTTCAAATTGATCATCTCGACATCAAGATGCATAGACGTGAGAAAAAATTGGATTTCAAGTTTTGGAAATAGTGCATTTTGTAACGCGTTTTTGGACTGCCAATTTTCAAGATTTTCAAGTTTTCATAGATCTGTCGATCTACACTATTTTTGAAGCTTTAAACTTTATAAATAAATATGAAAATATATTTTAAGGCTATCACAAAGATTCCAGTAGTGAAACCACATTTCTTGACACAATTTGAAGGTAGGCTCTAATTTGAATGTTTAGAGCCTAGGCTCTATACAAACCGTAACATTTTTTTTTGTTCTGTTTTTATTTCCTTTTTATGCTTTTTTGGTAAAATTCTTTTTCTTCGCTTTCATTTATAATGGCTGATACTGTTTCTAACCGAAATGGCCATACCAGTCTGGTTACGTTATGAAACTTGTCTAGACCCCTCGATACAGGCTGTTTAGAAAACATGTGAGATGGTTTGGTAAATCTCATCACACCATTACTGAATATAATTTACATAATATAAAGAAGATTATTCAAGGATTTCCTGTGCATCTATGGCCTAAGAGTATGTGTTATTTTTACAGATCAAACTGGGTACTGTTGATCAGAGTGAAGCCCAAAATGAATGGGTCATCAGGCCGTATATGAACACTGCAAAGAAGCAGAAGGCTCTCGGAGACTGATGCATCACCACGACCTTGCACATCGCAATTTCTCAAATAGTGATCTTCATGTCAAGCCTAATTTATTAAAAAACCTCTTATTTGTTGCTTGCTTTTGCTTCTTTATTGATCTCAGTTTGTATCACTTTACGAGTGGCTGTTATTTGTTCTAGGGCTTCAGCTTTTTGGCTTACTGGTTGGGGCCCAAGGGGTGGGGATGTAGCACCCAAGGTTTGAATCCCAGCTTATTTGCCACTCGAGAGAGAGAGCCCTAAAAAGTTGCTATTATACATTTTCAGGCGCAGAGCGAGAGAGAGGGCCCCTAAAAAGATGCTATTGTATTTTGCGGTCTAGCACATTTTTGTGACGAATCGTATATTTTAGCCAAAAAACTTTGGACCGGTGCACAGTGTTGGACTGAAATCTTTTTTGCTGTCTAACACATTTTGTGTCGGACCGTATTTTTTAGCCATAAAACTTATGGAAAGTTACCGGTTCGATAAATGGTGTCGGACAGAATTTTTTCGGTCTAGCACATTTTGTTTCGGGCTGTTAACTTTCCAAAAGTTTTACGGTGAAAAAATTTCGGTAGCCTTGTATCATTAGAGAGAGAACGGGAGTGATGGTGGATACAGTGAGAGAATGGATAGAGAGAATGTGAGTGGGTGGTTAAAGAGAGAGAATGGGAGAGATAGTGGAAAGAAGTAGACAGAGGGAGTGCATTTTGTGACAAAATGGGTAGCACGGGATCAATTTTTTCGAAAGGGAAATAAAGGGTGTTTTGGTTTTAAAATTCATTAACTGTTTAATTTGGGGATGGATATAAGAGTTGGGGTTTAATTATAATACAAAAAGTAAATGGGGGTATGAGGCATGAAAAATTAAAGTTTGGGGGTTTATGTAATTTTTTCAAAAGAAAAGAAAACCATCTTTATGTGGGTGTGTGTGACCCAGGTGGGCTTCAGGTCACACCCTTATGGGCCCCACACGTGTGGGATGCTGGCCATTTATCCCCCTTTGTGAGTTCCACTTAAAAATGAATTTTCTCAAATGCCCGTAGTAATTTTAAAATTTCATAAATACCCTTTTAGAGTTTTTTAAGGAGAGAAACATTTTTATAATTTTGAAAATTATCATAAAAATCAATTTGAGTTGAAAACAATATTTCTAGAGTTTTAAAAAAAATCTAAAACATAAAAATACCAATTAGTGGATAGAAATCTAATAGGTCAAAAACAAGTGTTGGGGCTCATGATTTACCTTTTAAAAATAGACAATAAACAGTAGAAGGATAGTCAATAAACAGTAGGAGCAAGTCTGGGGGCACATAGTGCGAGAGGGTTTTATATGTATATTTGCACTTGTCCCTCTATATGAAGTTGTTTTTCAAGATGGATATTTAATATGAACGTCTCATATAGAACTTTTGTTGAGGATTTGGTCTTCTCTCAGGCCCTTCCTTTGTACACAGGAGGCCACATAACTCTGTTGGCTTGCAAATAACATACATAGGCATCTACCTGACGTGCTGTAAGCTCTCAACACAAGTGCTACATACCCAAGGATAGGGGTTTTGTGTTGGTAATATGACTTTTCAAAGCCTTAATACTAGTTGTCTCTTGATCAGTGGGCAATTGTCTCTTGCTAAGTGGGGAGTAAGTAGGAAGTAATTAAGTCCAGGCTCTTTTCTGGAGAGGAGTAGGCTTTGCATATAAAAAGTGATAAAGAGGAAAAAAAGTCGAAAGTGGGTCGTAAGCAGCAACATCAAGAGAAAGAAGGGAGAAGGTGCGGCAAAGAAAAGACAATGAACAAGTGGTGTTAAAATTTAAATCAATTTAGTGGAACTTCATTTCACATGCCTTTGTCATTGGCACTTAAAAGAAAGAGTTATTCAAATGAGTTATGTTAAGATGTTCAAACTATGATGTAATTTATCATTGTATTCAATAAATTTTGGACATTTTTATACTTTTAATTTGTATATGGATTATTTTTTTAATAAAGTGTTTTTGGTTATTAAGAGGAGGTGTGATGTAATCCATATAAGGTGTGACATTACTTACATAGAGCACACTACATTTAATGCTCTATGTGGGTGATGTTACACCTCATGTAGATGACGTCATATCTTCATAATGACCAAAAATACCTTTACTAAAAAAAAATTTCATATATAAAACAAGAGTATATAAGTGTTCAAATTTTGTGGAACACAATAATAATCCTAACATAACCCTATTTTCAATGAGCAAAGCATAAAAATGGGGAAATTTAGTATTTGAATAACTTTCCCCTCCATTGACAATGACAAAAGCATGTGAAATGAACTCACACTAAATTGATTTAAACACTACTTGTTCACTAAATATATATTTAACACCACTTGTTCATTGTATGTTCTTTGCGGCACCTTCTCCTTTCTTTTGCTTGATCTTGCTGCTTCCTACCCATTTTTTATGTTTTTGCTCTTTATCTTTATCATTTGAAAATACCCTTCCATCAATTGACAATGACAAGGGTATGCGAAATGAAGTCATACTAATTTGATTTAAACACTACTCGTTTACTAAATATATATTTAACACTGCTTGTTTATTGGGGATACAAGTTTGACATTTCAAGATTTTTTAGAGCTTTTTTAGAATTTCCTATTATATTTTTAGATTTTTTTTATTAAGGTCTTTAACACATTGCCAAGGGGGATACTTTATTTAGTTTATATGGTAGATAATCCCCCTCCCCTCCTCTCTCTCTCTCCCTATATTTATGATTATGACTTAAAGTTAGATTTGAATCACATAGTTAATTGTCACACATGTGATTTGTTTAGCTTGTGCGAATCCAAAGCAATTTTGAAATAAAAAATCGTTTTTAAAACAATTATTCACATGGGATATATGCCATGTGAACATATCATGCGGAAGTTCCCCATTGGTGTGACCTATGTGAAGGGTGTGAAGCCCATATGAAGAGTGAAGGTTGAGCTAATTCCATTGGTGGTGTTACAAACCAATTTCACGTTTCCCATTTGATTAATACCCTTGCTCTTGAACAATACTTATACTCTTGGATTTAATAAAAATTGAGGGCTTTTATGTAAGCGCATTAGATGAGTTTGGAATTAATCTGAGGTTAAGGACAAAAGAGTAATATGGCTTTGATTTAGGTTTTAATGAGGGATAATGATATAAAAAATCTCATCATTTCATCCTAACGGTGGATGGGGATAAGGGACTACGATATTTTAGCTTCTCATGTGTCATTAATGATGTGCATCAAGGGTTGAGATCTAATCCTACTTACACACTTCATATAGATACCATCATAAGGTCCAACCTAACCCTAACTTTGAGAAACATATTTTCATAAGCAAAAGAACTAAGAGAAAGAGATCGAGGCCTCCATAGCGTCCATGCACCAATCATTACACCTTGACATATGAGATCAAGTCTACCTTGAGCTATCATCAAGGTAATCTTTCATTGAGTTTTTCTCCATCATTTTTCATCTTTTTCCACTTAATAGCTTGCTGTAAATCTATGGTTACATTAGCCTTAAGATACATTTAACCTTTGCTTCACATGATCTTCATGCTACCCTTGAAAAGTGGTCCCACACTTTATTATATGAGTTTCATACCTTGATCTATTGAATATGCATAGTTTATCTTGACTTCCCCCACACAAATTTTATGGAGCATTTGTTATACTTGATATTCATATTCCAGAGTTCTATCATCACCTTTGGAATCATTTACAGTTCATACTTTTACATTCAATCCCGTTTTGGTGGACCGGTAGACTATATTTCATCGTTTTGCTCTATTTTGCACATTTTTTATCCGATTTCTCTCATTCTTTTTGCAAACTGTTGTGTATTGTTTTTATTATTCAATATGTACCATATGAATTATTTATAAAGTGTATAAGCTTTCCAAAAAGGTTAGACACCCTTGCAATACTTGAACCACTCGTTCACTCATATTTGATACAAAATTAAGTACTTAGAAAGTCCGATTGTGGCTCAGGTACAAGGGGTTCGAACCAATGGCTTCTCGAGTATTTTAGCACTCTAACATCTCTGTTTGGGGCAGTTGTATTCATGTAATTTGTTTATGAGATCGTGTATGTTCATTGTATGTAATTAAATGTTGTCATTTTGAGTTGGTGTAAGTGGCATGTAACTTGTTTATGACCGTTTTAGAGTCGATTCTCAGTGGTATCTAAAGTCTAAAAGTGCTTGTATTATTGTATTAAAGTACTGAGATTGTGTAAGCATCTAGTTGTATTGTTTTTTTTTAATTAATTAATTAAAATGTTCTTAGACTTTATACCACATCATTTTGGACATGACCCGGGCAATAGGCTGTCCAACCCTAGTTTAGTCAAACTCATACCCTCCTACTGAAGTGTAGAATTCATTGTAGTTTATTTTATTTTCATGCTATCTTGGTTTTTAAAGGCTATAAACCTCAAAAAGCGAGCTCCCTTGGAGGTTGGCCATTCCTAGTGGCTTAAGTAATGACATTACTTTGCCATCTCCTTCCACTATTGGGGATCTCAGACCAGTGAAAAAAGGAATGGAGTGTTGATTTGGCTGTAGTGGAATTAGTTATTCCTAGGAATGTGCTAACAGAAGGGTTGGGGTTTATATACCTTATAAACTAAAGAAAGTATCCCCCTTTGCCAGAGACTTTAATAAAGAAAATCTAAATATAATAAGAAATTATAGAAAAACTTTAACAAATGCCAAACTTGTATCTCCAAGAATCCTCTTTTGGTAGTTGGTATGAAAATTAGAATTAAAAATTTAATTGAAATATTATACACTCGGGAAAGTGGAAATTCCACACCAGACTTGGACAAACACTAGAACTTCCCCACCCAAAAAGAACACGTCTCCCACTAACCTAACACTAAAAGTGCAAAGCTATAGAGAGAGAAAGAGAGAGAGAGAAGGGGCGGGAAGGTTTATATACCATATAAACTAAAGAAAGTATCTTGAGATAAAAAATATAAAAAGATATACTATTTAATTTAGAAAAAAGTTTATATAAGGTTGTAACTTTAAAATGTAGAATTAAAAGTGCACCTTAAAAAACCATCATATAAGTTGTTTGGATGTTGGAAACCCGTTAATTGATCATCTTGACATCAAAATGTATGAATATGAAAAGAAAAAAAAAAAATCGAATCTGCGAAATAGTGTATATTGCAATACATTATTTGGACCGTCCATTTTCAAGATTTTCATTTATTTATAGATCTTCTTGATTTGAACCTTTTTTAAAGTTTAAAATTTAATACTTAAAGATGAAAATGGATTCTCAAAACCATCATGAGAATTTTTTATATCAAAATTACATTTATGACAAAATATAGCGTTGCGTCTTAAATATATTAACACAAAATATATTAAAAAATAATGTTATAATGTATCTTATATATAGAACTATGGGCTTCGAGTCCCAACGAGTGTACACCTATCATTTCTAAGCCTTGTTAATTTATATATATATATATATATATAAACTACGGGGTGATAGGTGGGTCTGGATGCCATCGAACAGACCCAATAAGGGAAGTTGGACTTGGAACAAGACCCCGGGTCTCGTCTAGGTTAAGTGGAGTCGGACTTGATTGGTGGGATCCATTTTGTGGGTTCACACCCAGACCTGGTTGAGTCAATCTTTGGGTCCACGGGTCGACCAAACCCCTGCACCACCCCTAGTTGGTATTGTTGGAACCTACTTTGAACCGCTCGTTGGGCTCAAGCCCAACGAGTGTAGTGTAGGGTCACGTTGAATCTGGGGCATCTTTTTATTCTTAAGATTTTAAAACAATTGATCTTGAAGTTCTCAAATCGTATTTAATGATCTCAAACATCACTTTCGTTTTTAGACTAAGAAAAAATATAATTTTTGGCTTATCAAAATGCTCCATTTGTTGTTCGATTAGATCAACAGTTTTACTTATAAAAAAGAAGAAGAAAAGATTAGATCAACGGTTTTACAAGCGCAACATCAGTTTTAGTACTTTCTTTTCTTTTGAAAATCATCACAAGGTAATCCAAGTGTTGTCAGGTTCATTTCTCTTTGGCCGAAGAGGCTGAAACCTTCGTATTTTAGGCCAAGACTGAAGCTTAGTATTGTTGTTTCGGTCAGCTTTGGGCCGAATTGGTCAAGACTGAAGCTTAATATTGTCGTTTCGGTCAGCTTTGGGCCGAATTGGTCGAAGAAAAAAAATATACGTAAAAGCTTTTCTTTTAAAAATTTTTAAAATTTTAATTTTAAGTTTTTTCAATATATACCATAAATATATTGTTAAAGAAAGATTTACTCTAAAGTCCATAAAAAAAAACTTTTTTTATATTGAAGATCCATCAATTTCATCATCCAAAATTTGGGACATATAAAGTGACAAAAAATGGGATTTCACGTTTGAACATTAGTACATCTTACATTATCTACACGGTCTACTTTCAAGATTTTTAGGTATTTGTAGATGTGCTTGGTATGGCCAGTACTTTTGAAACTCAAAATTTTACAATAAAAGGTAAAATTATACTTTCAAGCTATCATAAATGTTTCCTACAACATAATGTTGAACTACGTTTTACAAGGTTGATGCCTTGTATACAAATCGCACACATAAATAAATAAAAAAAAGAAAAGAAATCTAGTGTGAAAATATCGGCTTGGTTAACCTGACCTTTGAACACCCAGGGTTAAATTCAGTGTCTTCATGTGCAGCTTGGTCTGCCTCCTGAGTGGTTTTTACAGGCTTTCATTTAAAATGTACAAACTTTGCAAACCATCTCAAATAATGCATTGTACCATGCGGGACATGACATTGACTTGGGTCCATGACTTCAAAAAAGTAGAAACTTTAGACCCCAACCTCAAATGGTGCACTGCACCATGGGAGACCTCAAGCAGAATTGGGTGCGACTTATATAGAGCATATGCTCTAAACAATCACCTTTAAATAGTGTCAAGAAATATAATTTTAATATTTTCATATTTTATTATAAAATTTTAAGCTTAAAAAAATAGTGTAGATCAAGGTGATCTATAAAAACTTAAAAATCTTCAAAATTGACACCCTAAAAATACGTTACAAGATGCACCATTTTCATAATTTGAAATATATTTTTTTCTCATGCCCATGAATCTTTATTTGAAAATATTTGAGCGTCAAAACAACATCTTTAAGCTTAATTTTTGAAGTAGGCTCTAATTTAATTGTTTAGAGTCTTGGCTCTATATAACCTTTTTCATGTTTTTATTTCTAAAAGTAAAGCTTAACCAAGAATTTCTAAAATGACGCGTACAAACTTTACAACCCACCTCAAATAATGCATTGTACCATGGGCCACATTGAGATTGACTTGGGCCCATGACTTTAGAAAAGTAGAAACTTTAGAGCCCACCTCAAATGATGCACTGCACCATGGGAGACCTGAAGCTGAATTGGGTGCGACATAGAGCCTAGGCTCTAAACAATCGAAGTAAAGCCTGCCTTTAAATAGTTTCTAGAAATGTAATTTCAATACTGGAAATCTTTGTGATAGTCTTAAATTATATTTTTATATTTAAATATAAAATTTTAAGCTTAAAAAAAATAATGTGGATCTATGAAAACTTAAAAGTCTTCAAATTTGACGGCCCAAAAATGAGTTACAAGATGCACTATTTCCAATACTTGAAATCCATTTATTTGGAAGTCAAAACAACCTCTTCTAGTGTAATTTTTGAGGTAGGCTCTAATTTGATTGTTTAGAGTCTCAGCTCTATACAAACTTTTTCATTTTTTTATTTCTAAAAGCAAAGCTTAACCAAGAATTTCTAAAATCAGTGTCTTAGGATGCGGATATATATATATATATATATATATATAAGGGTGAGGCCCAAAACAATGTCGAACATTTCAGTACTACAAATCTTTATCATGACCTAAATTTTTTCTCTAATTATAAAATTTAAAGCTTCAAAAACAATGAAGATCAAACAAACACTTAAAAATCATGGAAATTGACAGTCTAGATAATCTAATACAAAATGTACTATTTCCAAGACTTGGAAGTCTATCTTTTTTTTTCCGGTCATGTATTTCTCGATTGAGATGATCAGATTTGAGGTTTTTGTAGCATCGAAAAAACTTCTTTCAGTGAATTTTTGAAGTACACCATTGTTTTCCATCCTCAACCTTATAGAAACATTTGCATATATATATAGAGAGAGACCTTAATAAAGAAAATCTAAATCAGCATATCTTCTAATAAAGAAATTCCAAATATGCCAGGAAATTCTAGAAATGCCTTAACAAAACTTGAAATGCCAAACTTGCATCTCCAGGAATCCTCCTTTGCTAGTTGGTATAAATTATAATTAAAAGTTTAATGGAAAGATTATATGCTCGAGATCAATGATTCAAAAGTAAATCTGCTCCTCAGGGCAAAATCCTAATTTCAAGTATTTTCCCAGATGCGATCTACTCAATCTAGCAGTCAACCCAAAAATAAATGAATTATCTAAGCTTAGTTTGCTTGAATTATGTCCTGAGATCATGTCTAATTTTGAACAGTTAGATATAGGTAATTATGTATTTAAAACCCATTTCTTAAGGTGCTTATGTATTCAAAAATAGTTTTTTTTAGGGAAGGAAAGAAAAATTCTTCTCATAATTCTAAATTGAATCCCAAAACTTTACATACAAAAAATCGGATCCCAAAATTTTATATAAACAAATTCTCCAAATGGGTCATTTTTCCAAGGGAGTAAATGAATTTTTCATTCTCCTACAAGAGAATGGTATGAGCATTCTAAATATATAGAAATTTACTCCCATACCTCTTACGTCTTAATGGTGGGTGACGTATATATAAGGTTTCAACCTTAAACAATCAAAGCAATAAGAACCTCCATACCCTGCCGGCCGAAAGATGCAGCTCATACACTAGCGACCCCTGCAATAGCATGTAAATAGATAATTTGTTATAGAATACTATGATTTAAAACCTTTTATTAATTCATAGTTCTATATAATAAGGTCGAGATGATCACTTGGAAAAACTTCAAACCTCGCTGGGTGGGTTCTTGAGCTATTGCTTATATTTACAATTTATAGGATATGAATATTATGGGTGGCAATGAGTGGGGTAGGGTTCGTGTCGATTGGACCCCGACTTGGATCTAGAACCTACCTAGCTAGGCTTACATGGATAAATTCAAAAACATTAAGTTATATACAAGGTAATATATATGTTTTATTCTAGTTAAAATGATAATAAAATAAATTAAAAAATCTAGTCAAAATATATATGCTTTATATATTTCATACCAGGTTGACTCAACCTGGTCTGACCCAACCTGATAGGGTCCATGTTGGATCTAGTCCCAGACGCGACCCGGATCAGGTCCAAGCATCCCGAACTGACATGCTGAGTCCAAACCAATCCGGATTGGTGATCCGACGATTCAATACAAGATCGACGATCTGCCCCACCTAAACGATGTTTCAAACACTGGCTTTCACCACTTATTTTTATGTGTGTGAGAGAGAGAGAGATAGAAAGACAATAGGCATCAAGGTAGTCAAGAAGAGAGAGAGAGAGAAGGATTTCCAGTTATAGGCTTGGAGGCTTACCTACCTCACTACTGGTGAATCCTCCCTCATGAGCTGAGCTGAGCTGCTACTGTAATTCTACAAAGAGAGGGAGGAGAGTAGAGTTGGTACGCTCATCTTCCCATTCCAATCCCTCGCACCATTCTTGGTCTCCATGAATTAGTCTTAGCTTTTCTGCTTCTCGGAGACCCAGAGGGAGCCTTTTCAACTTGGGACAACTGCTTACAAATATGCTCACCAATGAAGGCCATGTGATCGCAATCTCACATATACTCCTCAATTTCACCAAATCATGTAATTGCAATTCTTTTAATTTGGGGAGGGTGATGTTTTGGCCTACCTTCCCACCACTAATTATCTCTTCTAATACAGCTCATTATCCGCATTTCTTCTAAGCATGGGAGACATTGTACCACATTTGCCAATAACACATTCTTCAATACATCACAATCCTAAAATAGTCAAATATCTGAGATTGCGAAGATGATGGTCTCCATCTCCCTTCCAAATTCTGCTCACAACTCGCAAATCCAAGAGGCACAAAAATTCCAAGCTCTTCAAGCTGGGAACAACATCAAGGCCAACAAAATCCAATTGAGAACAATTTATAATAGACAGATGATCCAACCTTTTCATGGGCGGTAGTTCCTCAAGACTATTCAAAACTTGGCACCCTACTACCTCTAATTTTTGTATCTTATCAAATATCTTTCGATCCCATTGGTTTTCCTTATTTATGAAATTCCCATTGGTTCTTATCCATAATGAACTTAAGCGCTCCAACTCTTCAAATTCCTCCCAACATGCTTCTTCCGTGCTAATTCCTTCTCTTTCCATCATTTTCCAATCGACGTATCCGCTACTCATGGTGTCCAGCTCCTCCAGACATGATAGCCTTGATATAACCCCATGTTTTATGGATTTAAGATCTTCAGTTCCTTGTAGGTTTAGAAGCTTTAAGTTGGCTAGTTCTCCCATCTCTGGCAATCTTTTGATCTTGGTGGGTCTGGGCGAGGGACTCCTATAGCATTCAAATCCAGCTTTTCCCACAAGTCATCTAATATAAGCATGAATCTTTGCTTCTTCAAAGCAGAAAACAATGTCGCTGCAATCGTATTTTCATCTTCAACATTCATGCCCAATTTTTCCATTATTTCTTTTTGAATTCTAGTTATATTTACATCTTTTGACACAGTGATCCATATCACTCTCTCAAATTCTCCATTTTGTGATAGACCATTGTTGATTTTAAGCATGACAGCTGTCTTTCCAACGCCTCCCTTACCGTGAATGCCAATCACACCCATTGCATCGTTACTCAAACACTCAAGGATCATATTTACATTTTTATCAAATGTTGACTGACCGGTGATCGAAGCTGTAGGCATCTCCCTCCCCACTTGCAGTGGTCGATCCATGCTCCAATTCACAGTATTTGCTAGATTGATGTGAGTAGGGATTTGGGATAGTTTCTTTGTTGCTTGTCTACCTGACTTGTAGTTGGAGGGGCAATTTGGGCAGAGTCCTCCAAAGCAACACTTGTTCTCATTGTATCTTTCAACTACTTCATCTGCTTCACGTTCCAATTCTCTAGTGCCCTATTGAACCACTGTTGTGCTTCACCCGTGGCTGCCTTCCCACTTCTTTCTACTGCTTCAATATTCGCCTCCAAATCAGGAATTTGGACCTTAAGTCGTTCGTTCTCATTTCTCAGTTCCTCAACCTTCTCCCCGCATTTGAAGAGATATCCGAGCTGTCGAGTGATGGGTTCCAAAAACATATTCACAATTTGTAGCACGCAGGTAGCAATTTCCATGGTTGATGGTAGCAAAAGAGAGGCAAACACAATGAAATAGTTCAGTTAGCCACAAGCCCTGGGGCACTAAACAAAAGCACCTTGTAAAAAGCCCAATTGGTCGAGAAAACCAAGTAGAAGGAAAGTGTCCTTCTGGCGAAGAAGATTAACAAAACCAAGGTGAACAAAGCAAAGCTTTGTGTTTTGGTGGAGAAGAAGATCATGAAAACCAAGGTGAACAAAAGGAAAGCTCTCTGTTGCAGCCGAAAAGAATATAAAAAAAAGCAAGGTTAATAGAAGGAACACTCCTTGATTTAGTCAAGAAGATCAAGAAAACAAAGGGAAGTAAGAGTTTTGGTTCAAGAACTTGCTAAAAAAAAGATATCACAATGGTATTTAATGATGCAATAGATTAGTCTGTGCATATAAAGAGCGATAAAGATGAAGAATCAGAGGTAGTGGTTTGGAACCAGCATAGAAAAGAAGGGAGGAGGTGCAGCAAAGAAAAGAGGAGGAAGAAGTAGTGGTCTTAAATCATTTTTTTTAACATCATTCCACACGCCATTGTAATTGTCATTTGAGGGATGGGTGGTAGGGTGCATCGGTGAAAATATTATTCAATTTCCATTATTAAACATCCTATGCTCATTCAAAACATGGGTCGAAATCGTAAAAGACCTCCATTCTGATGTTTTCCACCCATAAACTTTGTGTTTACTTTATTTGTTACGTACCGTAAGCTAGTTGAGCTCTAATCGTGATTAGTCTTATACATTGGTGGGTGTTAATGAATATAATACAATAAAATATGGATAAATGAGCATGAAAGAGCTCAATTGAGAGGGCTTTATTTAGGTCCAATTCATTGGTGTCATGATAATATGGACTTAGATGCCAAATAAAAAGGTTGATTGCGTATAAAGCAATAGGAAAACGTGTGGACCTCCTCTGTAATAATGCAAATAAACTAAAAGATTATTCATCTCGCATTTATGAAAACGTTCACAAGGAAGCCAATTGCCTTTTATACAAGAAGACACAAAGTTTCATAATAATAATTATCAAATTTCCTAACTCATCCCAAGCCATCTAATTTGATATTTATGAGTGGCAATAGTTATGACGTCCAGATATAAAGTTAAAAGAAATTGTTTTGTACGGCTAAGCCCGCATCTGTTACTATGTAGGCAAGTGATCTACATCGTCAACCAAACAATATTTCCTCAAGTAATAGTCATCTAAAAAAAGGAAAATCAACTGTTCAAATGTTTTATCCAAAAAGTATATTTCTAGTTTTTAAATTTTATTTATTTTTTACAGATTAATAATTTTCAGGTTAAAGATAACATACTCCCTAAACATTAGGTTCAAATTCTATTCCAAAAAATTCTTGGCTTGCTTGCTAGCCGCGTCCAAAGATAAACGGTCTCTTTGCAGACAATGAGTGCATCATTATCATTGAAAATAAACACAAGCATTCTTGTTTATTTTACAAAGGTGTGCGAACCTTGAAATAAATGGAAACTTTGCTCCTCAAAACTCTGCAGGAAAATAATGTTTTAGCAATAGAGATCCCCAATATGCCATGAAAAAAAACTTTCGCTCCAAGATTATAAAAAATTAAAATGGCACATATTTGGTAGATTCATAAAACACCTGAAAATATAAGTCTAGGACGTAGACTTAGTGTTGCTGTTAGATCAAGCGCTCACCAATTAAGCCAAGCCATGCTCTTTTCTTGATAGTAGACTTTGGATATAAAAAGTGATAAAGAGGAAAAAAACTCAAAGGTGGGTAGGAAACAGCAACATCAAGAGAAAGAAGGAGAAGGTGAGGCAAATAAAAGACCATGAACAAGTGGTGTTTGTTGAATACAATAATAACCCTAACATAATCCTATTTCCAATAAGAAAACCATAAAAAATGGGGAAAATTAGTATTTAAACAACCCTACCCTCAATTGACAATGACAAGGGCATGCGAAATGAAGTCACTCTAAATTGATTTAAAAACTACTCGTTTACTAAATATATATTTAACACCACTTGTTCATTGTCTTTTCTTTGCCGCACCTTCTCCTTTCTTTCTCTTGATCTTGTTGCTTCCTATCCATTTTTTAGGCCTTCGCTCTTTAGAAAATACCCTTCCCTCAATTGACAATGACAAGGGCATGTGAAATGAAGTCCCACTAAATTGATTTAAACACTACTTGTTTACTAAATATACATTTAACACCACTTGTTCATTGGAAATACAAGTTTGGCATTTCAAGTTTTGTTAAACTTTTCTAGAATTTCCTATTATATTTTGATTTTCTTTATTAAGGTCTCTAACACAAGGCAAAGGGGGATACTTTCTTTAGTTTATATGGTATATAAACCCTCCCTTTTATTCCCCAATTTCAACTTTCCACACATCCTACCCCATTATTTTTTGTATTATACCCTAAACGCCAACGCTATTTTTTCTTATATCTACCCCCAGTCAAATAGCCAATGAGTTTTAAGATCAAAATACCCTTTGTTCTCTCTCTCTCTCTCTCTCAAAATATACTCTCTTCGTCGTTTCTCTCATTCTCTCTCTTTACCCCGGCCACTCACATTCTCTTTCTTTCACTCTATGTCCATTGTTTCTCTCTCTCTATCTACCATCACTCCCATTCTCTCTCTACACCAAATGATACAAGGCTCGAAAATAAGGTCCAACACAAAATGTACCGGATTGAAATTTTTTAGCCATAAAACTTCTGAAAAACTACCGGTCTGGCACAAAATGTGCGAGACCGCAAAAAAAAAAAAAAAAAAAAAAAGAAAGAAGAAGAAGTCAGACCAGCATAAAGTGTGCCGGACCGGTAACTTTTCAAAGTTTTATGGCTAAAAAATGCGGTCCGTTACAAAATATGCTAGACCACAAAAAAAAATCGGACTAGAGAGGATATAAAATTCCACAAGAGAGAGGGAAATAGAGAGATAGGTAGTTTTGGAGAAACTAGAGAGGGAGAATACGGATGAGAGACATGTTCTGGTTGGGTAAGTAGAGAGAGACTACCAATGAGAGAGTTTGTTTTGGCTTTTGGGTAAGTATAAAAATAGAGAAAGAGAGATAAAGTTTGTTTTAGCTTATGAGTAAGTACAGAGAGAGTATGAGAGAGAATATAAAACAATAAGTTAAAATGGGAAGAGAGAAAAATTGGCATTTTGATCAAAAAATGGTTTGATTATTTGACTTGGGGGTATATAAAAGAAAAAATAGCCTTGAACTTTAAAGTACAATACAAAAAATACCGGTGGATAGGATGTGTAGAAAGTTCAAATTGGGGGTATCTATAATTTTTCTTTTTATTTTCAAAAATAATTATTTTAGTCGACTAAAATTTGCAATTATAAGTTTTTTTTTTTTTATTTTCAAAAATAATTATTTTAGTTGACTAAAAATTGCAATTATAAGTTTTTTTTTTTTGCCCTTCAAAAGTAGTTTGGAAAAATTATATATGTACCAAATAGTTTATCACATGGAGGTCGAATTTGTTGTAAATTTCACACACAGGTCCAGCTGCACATGACTTTTTTATTTTCTTTCAACTTTGCTCCCTATAATTGAAGAAAGGACCCAAGAAACCTAGCTAATCGATCCTTGAAAACCTGGCTACCAAGCTCCAGAAGTTGTGTGTGGAGGGCAATTTTGAAGCCGGCCATCTTCCTCGGTACCATACTTTTGTTTTCTTTTATTTCTTTATATAACAAATGCAGGATCGTGCCCGAGAGTTAGCAATGTATTCTTGAAAAGGGTTTGTGGTTCACTAACCTGCATGTCTTATTTTCTGTAACTTTAGCCCTCACTGCAAAATCCATTGATAAAAGGAGCTGGTAGTTTCAAGTTGTTCTATCCTCAAAGGAACTTGTATGTTCTGGCACCATGCTTTAGGGGAGCAAATATGGTGTTCTTATAGTTATCACAATTTGGACTTTGGTTATTTGGTCTTTCCACCAACTTGTCAATTCCTGTAGCAAGTAAATAGAACTTCCATTAAACACAAATACAAGGATGCTATATGAATTGTTGCCATTTTTACTGTCATTAATTATGATAAAGTTTAATTCACCTTGCTCTCAGGTTATAACTTTCATAGTTTCGTTGTTTTCTTATTAATGATCACTATGGTCTATATGAGTTTATACATGTACGTTATAGAATATGTATAGTCGTGGAGG